AATAAGGACAAAAACAGTGTTCTTCATATTAAAACATCATTCTGGTTTTTCGATACTTGCGTAATCAGCATCTTATAATGATTTTTGAAGCATTATGTGACACAGATAACTGGAGTAATTGCTGATGAAAATACAGCTTTGACAAAGGAATTCAAACCGAATACATTCAATATTAAAACAGAAATATATTCAAACATAAAATGGTTATTTAAAAATGCAATAGCATTACTTAACACTAATATTGTTTTTATTGTATTTATAAGTAAATAAATCCAGACTTGATCAGCAGAAGAGTCGTCTTACATAAATTTAAAAAAAAAGTCCCATTAAACCCAAACTTTTAAATGGTAGTGTATATTTAAGAAAAATCTGAATAGGACCAGGTAGATATATCTAACACAAGGAGTATAAGAATGACACTCACAAATTCAAAGGCACTGTTATTGGCGAAATACTCCTGGACACGAACACTCCAGTCAGGCCTGAGCTTGAGCACGCCGTAGCACTTAGAGGGCAGGCAAATGTAACAGCTCCATGGGTCAACCTCCTTCAGCTTATCAAACGTTGCTGGTCCCACCAGCATATTCAAACAGTCTTTACAGAAACACCTAAACAGTGGGAAAAAAGAAAGACTGTAAAACAACCTGTTATGATGGTTAAAATCGCATTAAGGTTTACATTTGCACAAGTTTGAGTTCAAACCTGCAGCAGCTGGCATTTCCACAGAGAATGACCTCTTGTCCGGCGCAGCACACGGTGCAGTATGACTGATAGCCATCATCATCATACCTGTACAGTGTTTCTGTAAAGTTCTCCTACACAAATACAAAACATGCACATTAAAAAAAATTACACACTGGCCACCAAATAGTAAGTAGCATATTCATTTTATGATTTAAGACACAAGAATCAATTCAGACCTTGCACTTAAAACAAAGGCTTCCCACAAAAAGAGGATGGACAATTTCAATGTTGGCAGTTCCACAGGACAGGCAGAAATCTGGGGAAAGAGAATAATTACCTTGTAATGAATTAAAATACATGACTGAGCAATGAGAATGTCCTTAAGGCAAAAATAAGTTGCTAAAAGTAAAATGATCAAATGAAAGGTGTGATTTCATGTGGTGACAATGAATCTACATGCCCTTTCCTAATTTTTTTTTCTACATTATCATTTTATTTAAAAATTATTTAAATATTTCAGAGCCAAGCATAACCACATTTCCACAATTTTACCATGATCTTTTATAAATTTCCTTAATTTTTCCAGGCTGGGATTTTCAGGCCACAATTTTAACATTTCCTAATATCTTCAGGTTTTCTGATTGGCCCAGCAGGGAAAAAAACAGGAATTTCAATTATTGTTAAGCCCTAGAATAATTTCATTAATAAACTCAAATTATGAATTTTAAGTGACTTACCTTCAATGTTTCTGCCTTTAACGGTTACCTCATAGACCATTTGATCTGAAAAGAGGACAACAAAACATAGGGGTATGTTTTCTTACAAAAAAATATGTAAAAAACTAAAACAATAATCTACAGTTCAGTGTTTTATGATCATTATGGCAAATCTCTGGCCTTTACGCAGATTAATGTATCTCACCTCTGGTGTAATCCTGAGCTGACTGTCTGTTCTTGTTGACATACTTCCTCTTGGCTGGAGGCTGATAATCACACACCGAAGAATCAGACTCAGTTTTACTAGTAGAGCTGTCTGTGAAATGGAAAAGCAGAGGGCACTGTTGTTAATCGGTCCAGATCAAGATTTTATTTATTAAAGAGCTTTTGCTATTTTTGACATGTCTGTGTATAGACCTAATTTCCGGATCAATGTGGAGTCACTCTGGTACTCTCTGTTATTATGAACTTCAAAATTGCTGTCAATCACCAACTGTTTTTTTAAATTACAGATATTTTTTAGTTTTTTGACATACCCACAGGAGGCAAAAATCCATCAGGACCCATGGGCTGGAAGCCTCCAAATGCCCAATCCAGCATGGCCTTCGCCTCTTCCCCTTTCTTCTCCAAAGGGGGGAAATTCTTCCCACAACGCTCCGCTGCCAACTACACAATGACACAACAATATAATGCAATATTAAAATAAGAATAAAATAAGAACTGGTGCTTGATTCCTAACCCTAGTTTTCAAAAGAACGATCAAGTATCTTATCCACTGTACCTCTAGGATTTGGTAGATGGCATTCCTGTAGGTAGGCAGACCTTCATAGGATTTAC